CACAATCCCAAGGCCTGAGGTCCTTCCTGTGGCCATGATCTTGAGAATGTTCTCTTTACTAATGTTCCTGTGTGCTCCTGGTGTGTTGTAGACAGTGACTCACTTTCAAGTCAGACATCCTATGAACAGAAGAAATCATTTCATTTCAGTCAGCATTTTGAGGACCAGTGTGGGTTCCACTATTTCCATTATTTCCCCATCTATTCACCATGAAGTAATGGGACTGGATGCCATGATCTTAGTTTTCTGAATGTTCAGATTTAAGCCAACTCTTTCACTCTCCTCTTTCACTTTTATCAAGAGGCTTTTTAGTTCTTCGCTTTCTGCCATAAGGTTGGTGTCATCTGCGTATCTGAGGTTATTGATATTTCTCTCAGCAATCTTGATTTCAGCTTGTGCTTCATCCAGCCCAGCATTTCTCATGACATACTCTGCATATAAGTTTAATAAGCAGGGTGACAATACAACCTTGATGTATATTCAGAAAACTAAGATCGTGGCATCCAGTCCGATCGCTTCATGGAAATAGATGGGGAAATAATGGAAACAGTGACAGACTTTTTTTGGAGTGCTCCAAAATCACTGCAAATGGTAACTGCAGCCATGAAATTAAAAGATGCTTGCTCCTTGGAAGAAAAGCTATGACAATCCTAGACAGCATATTAAAAAGCAGAGGCATTACTTTGCCAACAAAGGCTCTAGTGGCTCTAGTCAAAGCTATGGTTTTTCCAGTAGTCGTGGATGGATGTGAGAGTTGGACCATAAAGAAAGCTGAGGGTCAAAGAATTGATGCTTTTGAACTGTGGTCTTGGAGAGGACTCTTGAGAGTCTCTTGGACTGCAAGGAGAGCAAACCAGTCAATCCTAAAGGAAATCAGCCCTGAATATTCATTGGACGGACTGATGCTGAAGCTGAAACTCCAATACTTTGGTCACCTGATGCAAAAAACTGACTCTTAGGAAAAGACCCTGATGCTGGGAAAGATTGAAGGCAGGAAGAGAAGGGAACGACAGAGGATGAGATGGTTGGATGGCATCACCGACTTAAGGGACATGAGTTTGAGCAGGCTCCAGGAATTGGTGATGGACAGGGAAGCCTGTCATGTTGCAGTCCATGGGGTCACAAAGAGTTGAACATGACTGAGTGACTGAACTGAACTGATGGGTCCCACAGGTGTTTTGGAGGGATTACACAGGAGATAAAGACCAGACTAAGCAAGAATGAGGCCACACTTATACCTCACAAAGAAATGCGCTTGCCTGCATGTGAAGTCCCTTCAGTCGTATCCGTCTCTTTGCAACCCTGTGGACTATAGCCCCCCAGGCTCCTCTGTCCATGGGATTCTCCAGGCAAGAATACTGGAGTGGGTTGCCATGCCCTCCTCCAGGGGATCTTCCCAACTCAGGGATCAAAACTGCGTCTCTTACGTCTCCTGCACTGGCAGGTGTGTTCTTTACCACTAGCACCACCCGAAGTACTGTATACAAAGGCAAAAAGGTGGGGCTGAGGGGCTGTGATCTGGTAGAAAGATGCCTGAGGAATGTGCCTTGAGGTGGTGTTTTCATAGCACATAAGATTTGAGAAAGATGGAAAGAATGGGGGGCTGATGGAGATCATGGGGAAGAATGGATAAAGCATCCCATCATAGTCTTGTCTCTCCTACTAACTGTCCAAGTCTCAGATGTCCTGGTTTTTATATAAATGTCAAAAAAGAAGGAAACTAACAAATAGCCAAGCAATGAGCCAAGTGTCCGCAAATATAATTTCAAGTATTCCTCACAGACTGTGAAGAAACATAAGTGAAGAACTCTCTCTCATATGAGAGCTCTCTCCTGTCACATGAATGGCCAGACATCCCCCAGGGACTGGAAAGTTGTGACCTAATTGCTGAGCAGGAGGCAGAAAGAATTACAACACACCAGGAACAGAGCCTGCTCAGAGGCCGAGGAAGGGGGCATCCAAGGGTGGGGCCCTGGCACACCTTTCTACCTTCTACCTAGGCAACCTGCATAAGCTGTTTGTTCTTAAGTTCCATCTTGCTCCTGCCATGGGCCCAGCCCAAGCTGCTGTAGCAGATCCTGACTCTTCCTGACCAGGTAGTCTCCTAGCCACAACCTGCCCCATTTTCCTTCTCCAGGGGATCTTCCTGACCCAGCGATCAAACCAGGGTCTCCTGCATTTCGGGAAGATTCTTTACAGTCTCAGCCACCAGGAAAGCCCCTACACTCTGCCCCAGCTCCCACAAAACCTATTCCCTCCCCACTGGTATCTTTCACCTCTGGCTTGATTTATTGTTCAGGCAGACTCTCTCCTCATCAGACTCAGGGTAAGGTTGTCTTTGTCCATTAGCATAAAACTCTTAAAATTACCTCCAACCTGTGGCAGATAGAAATCACAGTCATAAACATAAGCACTATCTTGGAATTTTTCAGAATGACTTACTGAATGAAGAATTCAACAATAATTATCTAAAAAGATAGGCTTAGTTGAGTCCTGCTAACTGCTCTTTAGATATTAAGGCAACTTTAGGTCTACAGCACTTCCTCCTGCCTCAGGACTTTTTAAAAATATGTTCTCCTTTCTTCTGCAGAAAGTTCTTTCCCTTCACAGGCCCCCTATACTTGGTGTATCAAGCAGAGTCCCAGCAGGAGAGACAGGGCACTGTCAAAGGGGTGATTAGAGAGACTCCAATGAAAAGGACATTTGTGGGCAGGTGTTAAGAATGGAATTGTGTCCCTTAAGAAAAACATGTTCAAGTCCTAACCCCCAATATGTTAGAAAGTGACCTTATATGGAAATAGCATCTTTGCAATTGATGTAATTAGTTAAGATGAGGTCAGACTGGAGTAGGGTAGCCCTCTAATCCAACATGACTGATGAATTTGTAAGAAAGCCCTGTAAAGACACAGACGCTAAGCAAACACCACATGACAGCAAAGGCCAGCCAAGCCGAAGAACACCCAGGACTGCCAGCAAACCACCAGCCTCTAGGAAGAGGCAAGGAAGGATCCTGCTAAAGGTTTCAGAGTGGGTATGGCCCTGCTGACACCTTGATTTCAGACTTCTAGCCCCCAGAACTGTGAGACAATAAACCTGTTGTTTTAAGCCATCCAGTTTGTGTACTTTGTTAAGGCAGCCATAAGAAATGAATACTGCTGGCTTATGGGAAACCCAGAAAAAAATAGTGAAACATCTGGGTTTGGCGACAGAAAAACAGCTGCCACTCTAGGCCTGAAGTATGAAGCACAAGAGCCTTTACCAAAATCTGCAGCCTCCGGTGAAGGAAAGCAGAGACTAGCAAGGCACAGCCAACAGGCAGTAGCCTGGAGTGAAAACACACCACCTCATCCTTCTCCTTCTCTCCAGTCTCCCGATGGTGCCTCCCATTGGCCAAAATGAACAAGATGTCAGCAAGCAAGGGAACCAGGTGGATGTTGTCCATGGAGGTCAGCCTCCTAGAGCAGTGGTCCCCAAACTTTTTTGCACCAGGGTCCAGTTTTGTGGAACACAATTTTTCCATGGACCTGGAGGTGGGCATGGTATCAGAATGATTCAAGGGCATTATATTTATTGTGCCCTTTATTTCTAATCTCGTGCTGCAGCTGATCTGAGAGGAGGTACTGGTCTGCAGCCTAGAGGTTGGGGGCCCCTGCCCTAGTGGAGGAAATAGAGTGATCTGGAAGGACAAACAGACACTATCCAGCACTCTAGGGTAACTTCTGCTTTTGAGTCTCAACTGCAAAGTCACTTCTTCAGAAAAGCCTTCCCTGACCTCCTGACCAGATCCTGGCCCCTGTAACATGCTCTCAAAACCCTGCGTCTGCAAGGTCTTTGTCAGTCTGCAGCACTGAAGAAATTCATTATGCAAATCAGTAAGCAGTGACTGGCACTTATGTTAGAAACTAAACATGAGAGAAGAGACCATATCTGTCGTTCATCATTGAATCCTCAAGGTCTGGTGCATAGTAAAAATGACTAGATTTATAGTATGTGCCAAGAGCCAAGCAAGCTGATATAAAAAGATCAGGTAAGTAAGCCCAGAAAGTTGCCCTTGGCAATAAACTGTAGAGAACACGTACACATCTTATGGGTATAGATATTGCAGTTTGTAGTGTCAGAGAACGTGACCACCTTGAGTACTTGCTCATGGTCCTCTAGAAATGCTGGGTGAGATGGGCTGTTGGATAAATGAGATGACAAGAGGAAGAAAAGCAACTACCATGAGGTCAAGCAAACTTGAGCTTGCTTCCACCTGAATCCTCAGGCCAGTCTGGTCCCAGTTACACTGGGGGAACAAGAAAGCTCAGGTGGGTCTCTGCTCCACCTATGTGGCAACTTAGGTCCTGCACCCATCCTCAGATATTGGACACCTCTTTGTAGACCAAGTGATCCTCTTCCCGGCTTCAGCTGCACTTTCTAGTTTCCATTACTAATTTACCTGTTTAATTTCAATATCTCATAGATCATTAACCCTGAAACCCAATGTGCAGGTCCCAGGCATTCAAATACACAAGCATTCAAGTACTTCTGAAGTACATCTAAATTTAGCTGTCATGAACTGGGAGGTAGTGGTGGTTTCTACGTTTTTTACACTGGATTGCTCTTTTATACTTGGATCAGTCAGTCACCCTTATCCAACTTTGCCTGGAGGGAGTTGGCAGTAAACACAACAATCATTACAACACCCACAGGCCTTGTGAACACACTATCAACCTCCTTATTTGCTGATTCTTATGATTATGGCTGTAAATGTCAATAATTCTTCTTGCAATTAACTCTTAGCAGCACCACAGAGCACACAACACATATCTCTAACATGAAAATGGAGCAACAATATCAAACTTAACTTCTAGGGTGGGCAGCATTGACGGGCATTGTCATCTCATAAACAGGCAGCAGGCTCCACATGCCTTCTGTGATTGGCAAAATCTCTCTTCCGTAACAGAACAGCTGCCAGGGGCTGGTTTCCTCAGGCAGAAACGTGTCACAGAGAAGGTGTTGGCTCAGAGGAGGGACCAGGCAAGGACCAGTCAGGAGGCAGAGCTGTCCCCAAGCGAGCCATGCAGAGGGTCTGCCCCTTCATCCACCTCACCCTCTTCTGGGCAGGTAAGGCAGATCCTGGAAACTTAACTGAGCAAGACCCAGTGAGGCATTGAGGCTGCCAGGGCCAGGCCCTCGAGCATAGCACCCTTTATTCAATGATCTTAGCCCCAGTCTTCACTGAGCCTATCTTGTGTCTTTTCTATAGGAGTCATGTCACCTGCCGTGTTGGTGCCTCAAGACCAAGAAAAGACTGTGCCTGTGGGGAAATCTGTCACCCTCAGTTGCTCCATGAAAGGAGACTCCATCAGTAAACACTATATTTTCTGGTACAGGAAGACCCCGGGTAACACAATGACTTTCATATACCGAGAAGGGGGTACATATGGCCCTGGGTTTGAGGACAACTTCCGAGGTAAAATTGATGGTTTAACCAACCAGGCCATGCTGGAGGTCCTGAAGGCATCAAAGAGAGATGAAGGATTTTACTACTGTGCCAGTATTACCACCCTGCTGCAGGTTCACTTCTAAGCAACTCAATAAACACAGAGATCTAAGTGGAACAGCATTTTCAACAAGAGCATGACTTTCTCTTGAAGAAATAGTTTAACAAACGGAGGCCAGAGAAGGCTGATGTCCATGCCTTTCCTTCAGGTTCAGTGGCTCATATCCTGCCCACAAGCTCCTGTGGTGCTTAGATAAGCAATCCCTAATGGGGTGCGGCCCAGTGTGGGGCAGGAGAGAAGAGACAGAACAAGAGTCAGAAATTGTAGCATTTACTGTACACCCCTAACAGTTTTCTTGGAGCTTCATAAAAGATTTGGCTACACAGCCTGAAGTACTTAGGATATGATGTAAAGAATATGACTATGGCAAGCTCCAGTTTCTCCCCAACCATATACACCAGGAATTTAGCTGTCCTCGATGAGCAGGGCTGGGAACGTGGAAAGACTTCTTCATTCCTTTGGCGTCAATGAGACACAAGGCCTGTCATCATCCCAACATGGAGGGTAAGATCGGATCTCCAGTTTTTGTACCATTTTGGACTTTTGCTCTCCTTTCCATCTCTGCCTGTTTACTTCTATATGTTCTAGAAACAAAACATTGAACAATTTTTTTCCACTGGCATTTCTTTATCATTCTTTGAGTAGCTCAATTTAAATTCCACTTTTATCTTAAACAGTGTACTTTTCAAGATTTAGATGACTGACAGACTGTTCTGAGGCTGAACTTGTGGCCTTCCTTCTGGCCTTGTCTAGAAAATCTACCATTCATGTTATTGACAACCTTATTGGAATTTTGGTGGTGACGGGTGTGCTCAGTAACTAGATTATAGTGGTGGTCTCATGGGTGTATGAGTACATCTGAATTCATCAACTTGTGCATTGTAAATATATGCAATTTATCACACATCAAGAGTACCTTGATGGAGTTATAAAAATATTTTTTAATTTAAAACAAGAATTCTTAAAGCCTCAGTGGGCTACTTCAAGCAATGCCTAAGGAAAACTTCCTACAGTTAACCCTTCTAATCAGAGGTCTTGCCATCCATAGAACATAGAGGCTGACAAATGTTTGCCAGGCAGGCACACAATTGGTTCCGGTCATGGATCTTCAGTTTTCCAACGGTCCTCCCAATCATTCCATCTCCCGTGATTCTGCCTGACTTCATATATATACATATGTATATGTATGTATGTATATATATACATATATATATATATATATATATATGGAACCACTATATATATAGTGGAACCACTATATATATATATACATACATATATATATATGTATATATATATGTATATATATAGTGGTAAAGAACTTGCCTGCCAAAGCAGGAAACATAAGTGACAAGTGTTCGATCCCCAGGTTGGGACGATCCCCTAGAGGAGGACATGGCAATCGACTCCAGTATTCTTGCCTGGAGAATCCCATGGACAGAGGAGCCGTGGGATCGCAGAGTCAGACACAACTGCGTGATAGGACACTAAGGCACAGTAAAGCTAAAACGCTTGCTCAAGATACTCCTGCCAGTAAGGAAGGGTGACAGATTTCAGACTCTGGAGCTGGAGGACACAGTATGTGATTCAGGAGGTTGGGAGGAGGTAGTCCATGGAGGAGGCCATCCCCAGGATGTGTCAGAAATAAGGAACAACAGGACTGTGCCCTTGCCACCAGACCCGTTCAAACCAATGCTTCATGACCATCTGTCAAGAAACTAGGACAATGCAGCAGGGGTCCCAGATGACTTCTCAATGTCTTCTAGCTCCGAGGTTTTGTGATCCTGACACAAGCTTCACTGTCTTCTAAAATCATCTGTACCTCTTCATCTTTGAAACTGAATAAGAAAAGTCACATTTTCAGAAATTATGAGTCCATCTTCACAGTGTTATAAAAAAACAAATAATAGGAAGTAAATTGCATTGCACACTAGTAGTTATTCCATAAATTTACTTAACATAAGAAAAAAGGCTTCCCTGGCGATTCAGACAGTAAAGACTCTGCCTGCAATGCGGGAGACCTGGATTCAATCCCTGGGTCAGGAAGATCCCCTGGAGAAGGGAATGGCAACCCACTCCAGTATTCTTGCCTGGAGAATTCCATGGACAGAGGAGCCGTGGGATCGCAAAGAGTCAGACACAACTGCGTGACTGAGCACACACACACACACACACACACACACACATATATATGTATAAAATATACGTACATATATAGGATGGCATTTGGAAGCTAGTTATGTAGATATTATCAAAGTTTTGGAGTGATGGTTTTATAAGACCTGTAAGATGTATTCCTATCAAGAGACCCAGTGGGTCCTTCTGAAAGAGACTGGAAGAATGTGTTTGATGAGGAGGAGGAGAGAAAATATTTGTACAAATTTGTAGAACTGTGTGTTCTCTGTGATAAAAATTAATATCTATTGTGTGCTTACTATACTGTTCTGAACACTTTACATGAGTTATATGAGTTAATTCTCTCAACAATTTTATGATGCATTTTCTATTATCCCCATTTTACAAATTAGGAAGATCCCCTGGAGAAGGGAATGGCAACCCACTCCAGTATTCTTGCCTGGAGAATTCCATGGACAGAGGAGCCTGGTGGGATATAGTCCATGGGGTCACAAAGAGTTGGACACGACTGAGTGACTCACATAAGAAAGGCCCAACAATAAAGTGGAATAACTGAGAAGAAATAAACTAAATTATGGAGTGCCAAGATGCAACCACTTTCAAGTGTGAACTCACTTAATCCTTATAACAGCCCCATAGGTCTTTATTGTCAGCTCTGTGTCACAGATGGAGATACTGATCCTCAGAGAGACTGGGTAGCTTACCTAAGTTTCCAGAAGCAGAGCATGTATCTGGGTCTGAGTAAAAGCAAGTGGCCCAGGCACTGGGCTAGGAGCCATGGGCTACACTAAAGAAATCCATCACCTATAATACAATCTGAATTAGAGAACAACTGGGGACAAGTGTGTGAAGTCTAGTCATCTGTGTGATGCAGAGGTTGTCCTTGACTCCTTGGCCAGTCCTGGGGAGAGGGCATGGAAGTGGCCTCCTTCTCCTTCCTTCTCCTGACTCCTTCCTCCTCCACTTTTCCCTCCCTTGCTTGAAAACACCAGTTGCAATTTCAGCTTCCATGTTGTTCTCAAGAAATGCCTCACTCCCGTGACTGAAGCAGGACAGCTGATACCCAGCCCCCTCCCACTTTCACTCCTGAGCCCACCCCTAGGTCAACAGCTTGTTTCCCAGGCCACAGCATGGAAAACAGACCCACATATTCCTCCTTTCTGATGCCTAGCAGCGGCAATGTCTTATTGAATTCCCTGAGAGTCAAATTCCCTGAGAACTGAGTGCCAAAGAATTGATAATTTTGAACTATGGTCTTGGAGAAGACTCTTGAGAGTCCTTTGAACTGCAAGGAGATCAAGCCAGTCAATCCTATAGGAAATCAGTCCTGAATATTCATTGGAAGGACTGATGCTGAAGCTGAAAGTCCAATACTTTGGCCACCTGATGCTAAGAAGTGACTCTTAGGAAAAGACACTGATGCTGCGAAAGATTGAGGGCAGGAGGAGAAGGGGACGACAGAGGATGAGGTGGTTGGATGGCATCACCGACTCTATGGACATGAGTTTGAGCAAGCTCCAGGAGTTGGTAATGGACAGGGAAGACTGGCATGCTGCTTCCATGGGGCCCATGAGGCCACAAAGAGTCAGACACAACTAAGCGGCTAAACTGAACTGAGAGTCCCTTGGGTGCTGATGCATTCACTGCCTTCTCCTTCCTTCAAAGAGACTGACTGACGTGGCAGCTACAGGAGTCTGGGGCTGGTGTGATGAGAGCTGGAGAAATTCTGTGGGTCCCTGGCAGATCGATAGACTTGTTAACTTTACCATCCATGTACATCTGCACCCTGAAATAGAGTGTCCGAGTTCATCTCTTCCATTTTCACTGACTTATTGTCACTTACATAGAAGCAGCAAAAGGGCTCAAGATCTATCATCCACAATTCACTGCATTTAAAATGAGCAAACTGACACCAGCAAGCGCTGCTATAAATTAAGGTGAGGGAGTCACTGTGCAAAGAAGAGAACTGAGTTCAAACCAAACTTCGCTCTAGGTAGGGTCTTAGCCCCCTGCAGCACCTCAGACAGAAAAGTGCTGACTAATAAACTCTCCATATCAACAAGGTGAAGAAACACTGGAATTGAGGCTACTTTCCTACTTCTCAATTCAACATCTTACCTCCAAATATAAATTGAAATCATGGGGTTATAACACCTCTAATATTTTGGGGTCAGAGTGCTTTATTCTTCCTCCAGCAAATACCGTCTCTCCTCTCTGCCTGACTTTTCTCCATAGCATTCATTACTATTTGATGTGCTGTATATTTTACTTGCTTATTTATTTGTTGTTTAGCTCTCCGCTGGAACACGGGGATTTTGCCTGTTTGCTTACTGTGTTACCTCTAGCACTTGGAATAAATCTGGCACAAAATGGGCACGCAATACATGTGTTGAATGAATGAGTGAGTGAAATGTGCAATGAATGAGCAGTGTGTATCCTGCGCTGTGCTGCATGTTGGGAATGCAATCGTGCACAAGATCGGTGATAAGTTTGCCCTCAGAAATGCTTTATCCAACCCTCATCTATCTGCTAACAAGATTTTCTAAAGAGTAGATAATAGAGCACTCTAGAACACCAAATAACTGACTCTTGGAGAGCAGATATCAATGCTCCTACATTCCTTGGACATCCCACCATGATCGGAATAAAATGGGAGGGTGAGGACAGGGAATGGCAGGCTTTCTCCTTTCACCATATTTCCTCTCCTTTTAATCCTAAGGCCCCAAGCCCCAAGTCTTGAACTGTTGGGGAGAAGCTTGAACATTTCTACCTTATTTCCCAGAGGAATTTTGCAAACTTTCTCTCTAAACAGGCTGCTGGGGCATACCATCTCTGAACCAAGAGACACTGGAAAGAACAACTCCTAACTCCCTCTTCCGCTACGACCACTGCCATCAAATGATTTTGGAATTCTTCCGGAATGCAGAATCCTCAGGGTCTTGTGTTTTTAGCAACTCACGCATGCACAGACACTTACACTGTGAGTGGTAACAGTGCACGACTGTGTAAATGGAACACTGGAGGAACTCTCTGAAGGCACATAGCCTGGATGCTTGAGGCCCTCAGGTGCAGCTGGCCTGGAGCAATGCTCCACCCAGCATGCTGGCTCCATAGGAAGAGAACCTGCTAAAGGAAGTCAAGCCATCATGTGATAGCTCCTATTCATTTAAATAGGGCGGGCTCTCCAACTCTGTTTAAATAAGAAATCTAGAGACTTCCCCAGTAGCCCAGTGTTTAAGAACCCACCTTGCATCTCAGAGGACACAGTTTCCATCCCTGGTCAGAGAACTAAGATCCCACATGGGCAACTAAACCCAGGTGCCACAGCTAGAGAGAGTCTGTGCACCACAAACCTGGTGCAGCCAAATAAATAAATAATTCAAAAAAAAAGAAAACTAGTCCCTGTAAGCTTTCCATTGCCTGCATACATGTGAGAGAATAGGGAAGCTTTAATGATCATTTTCTGGCTTAAGGACAAAGCCCCAGGAGAATTTATAACTTTCAGAAAAAGAACTGTCAGTATAAATACATTACTAGGATAGCAAATTATTAATAAAGGAAACCAATCCAAAGTGTAGACTTTTGGAGATTAAAGCTATTTTCATAAAATATAACAACATTATTTATTCAACAAATATTTATTAAGTAGTTACTATATGCTAGGTACTTTTCTAGACACACTGGGAATACAGAAGGTCAGGAATTTATTTTAGTGAAAATAAATACAAAATAAGTAAAATATATGTTAGATTGTGATGATTGCCATGGAGAAGACTTGCAGGGAGGGAGAGAGAGTAGGAAATCAGGGGTCTGATGGAGGCAAATTTTTTAAATCAGCTGGTCAAGAAAGGCTACAAGGAGAAGCTTACATTTCAGCAAAGGTCTGGGATGAGCAGTAAGATATATTTAGAGTCTGGGTGTTCTCCAGAATTTTCTGCTAGAAGTAACATTTTAATGGCCAGTTTTATGATGCATAATAGTACCAGTTTCTCTGTAACTTGGAGGAATAGGCAACAGTTTTTTTTTCTTCTTCTTCTTCTCTTGCTGCAAGCTCTGTCACCAAGCATTCAGGCTTCCATTTTTTAAAACCAATGTGATGAGGTTCCATGAATTAGTACCAGTGGGGAGGAAGCTGTGCTGAAAGGTCAAAACATAGAACATGAAAAGCAAGATGGTAGAATTGCATTATTGACAAATGGAATCTGGGGTAGGTAATATATTTTCCTCTCCTTAGGTGACCTAGGAAATGGAGAAATTCACTTCCTCTCCAGCCCACAGCCAGCTGGTAGAAAAGCCAAAAGATAGCACGGCTTTCAATCCCTGGTCATGAACACCTCTCACCACTCCCTGACCTGGTTGCCACAGGAAAGCACACTGTCACCCCCATATTTTCAGCCCACATCATTGCTTTGCTATTCTCCACTCTGGTCAGCTGGAATATCTCCTCCTAGCCAAGTTGAGCTGGAAGAATAAGATGTCTCATGGGTGTTGTGAGAGTCCAGAGCTCCAAAGAACTCCAGAGTGTCCACTACACTTCCACCCTTGCTTTCTACCCCTCTCTGAAGAGACTCCATGAAACCTCAAATGCTCTCCTAGGCGTTTTCCATCCCTCTGGGAGCTTAGCTCCATTCCAAATTCATAACAGGTGTTCAGTATAAAGACGAAAGGCTGGTCTCCCACTCTATCTTCTCAGCCTAAGTAAACCCCACTCATCAGGGACCCTTCTCCTCACTCCCTGACCTTTGTCCCCATGGCAGTGCCTCTTATCCTGTCTACTGAGGAATGGGTGGATCAATGGCATGAGCCTGCCTTCCATTCAGAGACAAAAATTTCCCCTTCTTTCTTTTTCAAAACAGATGCAAGTCCACCATATGACAGTGCTGTTAAGAAAAAGAAAGCTAATGAGGTGCTAAAAGATTATAAGAATGGCAGTGTTATCATACTTAGCACTGATCAGCTTTTCCCACAGGTCACTGGCCTGACAAGTTTCTGAATTAGCCTGAGTAAGTCTTGGAGAAATTAAGCAGCATCGAATTGAAGCCTGTGAAGAGTTATAATGGAAAAGAAACCCACCAGACTGGGATGTGTGTTCAAAGTCTACTTTTGCCCTGTGAGAACCTACACCCCTCCCCAGGCTCGTGCACAAGGCAAGGAAGCCAGAACTGAGATAACCTAAGGTCCCGTCCGCTTCTCACCCTCTGTGATGCTGTGATCAGTCATCCTATGAGCCAACAAAAAGAGAAAACATTTCCTATGAGCCAAGAAAAAGAGAAAACATTCTGAAATTTCAGCAAGAAGAAGTTAAAAATGAAAAATCTCCTTAAAATGAAAATCATCAATAGTTGTAAAGGGGTACTAGTAACAATGTTCATTGATGGCCTACAGTCATGGAGTACTTTTCTATGAGGAAGTAAATGAAAACACCGAAGCAAGGCCAGGGTAAGGCATTGCCCAAGGTCATACTGCTGGTGAGCGGCTGAGCTTGGACACAAGCCCAGGCAGCTGCCTCCAAAGATAATGTGCCATGCAACCCAAAAGGCTGCATTTTCTGGAGCTTATTAAACCTTTTAAATCATGTCTGTGGGCAAAAGTGTGGGTCCAATCCCTTCCCAAAGTTGTTTCTGACTGTGTTAGGCTATATTCTATAAAAGGAAGCTGTGCAAGGAGGGAAAAACTATTTCCTTTGGGTTCCCCGTGATACTATCCTTACATTTTGCAACCGAGAAGACTGATAGCCTCAGTGGTATGTTTGAGAGCACTTTTCCACCCTCAGTTTCCAGCATGTGGTATCTATTTAGACTGACCCTCTTTGTGCTATTCCTCTATGATAATGCATGAATCATCCTTTTGAAGAGAGTATCATGTCTATCTCTCACAATTCTTATCAGGGTTTCCTCTTTTCCAGAGGTCCAGTCACTGAATCATCTGCGGGGACCATAAGAAGCACCGGGAACTCCCTAAGGACCATCTGCAATGCCTCTGGGTTTAACTTTCCAGTAGGTCACTCACAGTAGTTCACTCTTCTGGGTGAACTACTACCTTCAAGTTCTAGAAAGACCGCATGAATTTTCTTTCTAAAATTAATCCCTTCGGACTAAGGTTAAGCATTTCAAATTTTCCTTGGAGGGAAGATTTATTCTCACTATGAACAACATCAGCAATCACTTATATTTACAAACAAACAGACTGAAACCAGAGGCTGAGTATTCTTGTGCTTTCACCACTACGAACCACAAAGAAACTGAGGGGGGTTGAAATCTCCCTAGTAAGCAGAATAAAAAGGAGAATCTGCATGTAAATCAGTGATCTTTCCCCAGCTGGATCTCGCTGTCCCAGACCTACACCTCCATCTTAATCATACTTGGTCCTCTGTTATTTTCATCTGAAATGGTCTCTTTGCTTTGCTATTTTGAACTTTCCCAATCTTTTCATCTTCCAACTTACTGCATCCAGAGGTGGCTGGGCCAAAGGGTGAAAATAGATGTGATGGTACCCTAAGGAACCAGCCTTGAATGACCCTTTCAGAAGTCCTGCTGGCCAGAAGGCTTGTTCTGAATGATGACAGGTGGTCAGAAAGTTAAACGCATATCTGCCTCTCATGTGAAGCTGACCATGCGCCATGGATGCTTTTATTAGCCCTTGAATTCTAGAACTTTGGAGAAAAGAGACAGAAAGAGCAAAACATATAATTATACTAACAGGAAAGAAAGATGAGAGTGGGATTTTCTGAGTTTCAGATAAACACGTTCTATAATCCTTCCCACATTTCAGATCTGTGAAAACATCCTTATCGTGTTAACCGAGTTTCCTGGCACAGTTTAAGTAGGCGTATTTTCCTCTCTTAAATAGGTGGCAATATAGTGCAGATAACAAAAGTGATTATACAAGAATAAATATGCTTATCATTCACAAAAATATTAAAATGTGTTGAACTTAGCAATCACCTGAAAATGGTCCCTCATGTTGGTAAGGTCTTTTTACCTATCTTGATATGAACAAGTTTAAATATTTGGTCTAAAAAATTTAGTCTATAAGCTGCATATGTGTTTTTGTACATGAGTTCTTTGAATTGTAAAAAGAGCATGGGTGGTGGAATCAGACAAAAGTAAGAAAGAATCATAGCTCCTCATTTACTGTGGGACCTTGAACAAGGTTGCCCATGGACTAAGGTTAAGCATTTCAAATTTTCCTTGGAGGGAAGATTTATTCTCACTATGAACAACATCAGCAATCACTTATATTTACAAACAAACAGACTGAAACCAGAGGCTGAGTATTCTTGTGCTTTCACCACTACGAACCACAAAGAAACTGAGGGGGGTTGAAATCTCCCTAGTAAGCAGAATAAAAAGGAGAATCTGCATGTAAATCAGTGATCTTTCCCCAGCTGGATCTCGCTGTCCCAGACCTACACCTCCATCTTAATCATACTTGGTCCTCTGTTATTTTCATCTGAAATGGTCTCTTTGCTTTGCTATTTTGAACTTTCCCAATCTTTTCATCTTCCAACTTACTGCATCCAGAGGTGGCTGGGCCAAAGGGTGAAAATAGATGTGATGGTACCCTAAGGAACCAGCCTTGAATGACCCTTTCAGAAGTCCTGCTGGCCAGAAGGCTTGTTCTGAATGATGACAGGTGGTCAGAAAGTTAAACGCATATCTGCCTCTCATGTGAAGCTGACCATGCGCCATGGATGCTTTTATTAGCCCTTGAATTCTAGAACTTTGGAGAAAAGAGACAGAAAGAGCAAAACATATAATTATACTAACAGGAAAGAAAGATGAGAGTGGGATTTTCTGAGTTTCAGATAAACACGTTCTATAATCCTTCCCACATTTCAGATCTGTGAAAACATCCTTATCGTGTTAACCGAGTTTCCTGGCACAGTTTAAGTAGGCGTATTTTCCTCTCTTAAATAGGTGGCAATATAGTGCAGATAACAAAAGTGATTATACAAGAATAAATATGCTTATCATTCACAAAAATATTAAAATGTGTTGAACTTAGCAATCACCTGAAAATGGTCCCTCATGTTGGTAAGGTCTTTTTACCTATCTTGATATGAACAAGTTTAAATATTTGGTCTAAAAAATTTAGTCTATAAGCTGCATATGTGTTTTTGTACATGAGTTCTTTGAATTGTAAAAAGAGCATGGGTGGTGGAATCAGACAAAAGTAAGAAAGAATCATAGCTCCTCATTTACTGTGGGACCTTGAACAAGGTTGCCCAGCTTCTTAAACCTCTATTTCCTCACAGATAAAACAGAGATAATAACACCTATTTCACAGAGTTATTACAAAGATTAAATAAAATAATTGCTGGAAGTCATCTGGCACTCCTGGGTAATTAGCACTTCAAATGTGCTCAATAATGCTAATATTCTATACCCTTGGCTCTTATTCTCTTTTTTTTTTTTTAATGTGGACCATTTTTAAAGTTTTTGTTGAATTTGTTACAATATTGCTTCTGTTTTATGTTTTGGTTTTTTGGTCACAATTCATGTGGGATCTTAGCTCCCCCACCCGGGATTGAATCCACATCCCCTGCATTGAAGGGCAAGGTCTTAACCACTGAACCACCAGGGAAGTCCCAATACCCTCAGCTCTTAACGGTCTGAAGGAAGGTAGTTTTTATGCAGAAGAGAGAATAAAGATCTAAAATGGGAAGGAACATTGGTAATAATCAGTAAGACTTTTTCAAACCAATAAGTCCAAATGCGCTGCCAGCATATTTTTCATAAAAATATCTCATCAGGAATGTTCTTTCCACACAACCTCTCTAAGTTCCTGCCATGCACTAATGATAGTGAAAGTCTCAAAGACAAGTCCAGTACCAAAAGGAGCTGGGTCCCCAATAACATACTGTGTCTTCATTGCCCTCTGTCTGTACCAGATGAAGGTGGCCCAGGCCAGTCCCAGCTTTAGCAAAAGTAACAAGGAGAATGAATTTTTCATGTCAAACTCTTCCAATAGACATGGTTTAGATGTCTAGGACAATAGCTGGACCACGAAGTCTCAATTTTCAGAAAGCTCAGCCTTCAAGCTTTGAGGATATTCTCCTGCGGGGCCTTCCCAGTCTTGGGATATTTAATTAATGTACCTTATTAAGAATGCAGAGATCTTTTCCCATCCTTATAAAGGAACCTATTAAATTTAGTTACTAGCCTGTGAGGGGTGACATTTGTCCATCCTCATGTTACTCATGCCTTTTACCTAGGCTTAGTTCACCATAACACTTGGCCAAGAAACTCAAGTTCCCCTAAATAAATCCCAAAGGTAAATATCCTCATTTCAGTACTTTGGCTTTGTCCATTAAAAAAAAAAAAAATCTATAGAGACCTTATGCAGGCGAATAAGGAAGAAAAGTCAGGGAATCAGAGCTACTATTTTGCCAGAAATGCTTTTTCTGTTGGTAGAAGACAGTGAAGGGTATTATCTGTGCCAAATCCCATGAGGGAAAGAAGCTGAGATCTGAGGAAACTTCCACCTGCTAAAAGGACCTGGCAGCCGGTTGACAAAAGTGTGGGGGAGGGGGAGTCAGAACTTCACTTCTTATTCTGTGACTTCACGTAAGTCACTCAAACCCTTTGAGCCTCAGATTGTCATCTGTACAATAGGTTACATTAGCTGATCGCCACACTTCCTTAGGGCCTCCCTGGTGGCTCAGAGGTAAAGAATCCACCTGCCAGTCCAGGAGACTCGGGTTCGATCCCTAGGTTTGGAAGATTCCCTGGAGAAGAATACTGGAATACTCCAGTATTCTTGCCTGGAGAATTCCATGGACAGAGGAGCCTGGCAGGCTGCAGTACAAAGGGTCACAAGGAGTCAGACACGACTTAGCGACCAAACAACAACATGCCTGCTTCAACACTAACAAGCTGTGGGTCTCTGTCCAACAAGAAAGAGAAGGAAGCAGCTGTGGGACAAAGGGAATCACATTTCATGGATTCCCAAGATTGTGATGCCCAGATTCCTGCCTGGCTGATTCCTTTATGTAACTCAATAAGGATAAAATCAGAAAAGGAACTAAACAAAATACACTCATGGTTAATCAAAGGGGATTGAAAGTCAGTGCTAACCTCAGACCTACCTTACTTTGCCTCCAGCTCACCTCCCCTGGGACACTCCTCCTCTTTAATGCCTCATCGGGATTTTTCAAAAACTGTGATCACTCAAGGTTGAAGCTTTTAATCTCCCATGTATAAAAGGATATGCAAATAGAGTTCAGTTTCCTGTTGGGTCTCTGCCAAGGTCTTAGCCTGGCAGTTCTGGGAAAAGAGCCAAAGACCTCATATTTTTTGGCTGTTAACATTCTCCCATCTGTGCTCAAGTCAGCAGCCTGGGCTTTGGGTTGTGGCTTGTCTGTAGTCTTACACTTCCCTAGATTTTAAGAATGGTTAAGAATGGTTCTGCAAGAAAGTAACTTGTCCCTCAAGAAACCAGACAAGAGAATTGTCTGGTTATATTGGGGGCCAGTAAGAAAAAGATCAGTAAGAAAAAGGCTAAATTATAGCCTCAGAATCCAATCTTATAAACTACTTCAAGTACTGATATTAATTAGACTTAGGTAATGCTTGTAAATTAGTCATCTGTGTCAGTACAGGGTGTCCTACATCGTACATACACAAGGTGGGAAAAGTAATATTCTCAGATGTAATAACAGCCCTGAACATCATTTGGAAACAAAAGACCTGAAAAACGCAAGACATTCCAATGTGTTTCTGAGCCAGAAGCCCGGCCAAACAGCAGAATCAGGGATCAGACCAGTTGTCCCCTGTGTCTCCCTGTTGAACTCACACAAAAGAGCAGCTGCCATTTTTATTCCACATGAGGCATCCAGATCCAAGTTCACTGAACTGTTGTTATCAATATTCTGATGGAAAATAGCAAGTTCCAAACTATATTAAATCCGACCATTCGATAAGTTTGGAATTTCCTCTTTTTCTATAAATGTTCTGGCTTATTTTTATTTTCTAGTATTTCTTTTCTGAAGCCAACAGCCAAAGGGCTTTCCTGTGCTTTCTTTGTATTTCCATTATAAGGTCAACATACAAGTGAAATTTTTTAAACTTTGTCACACACCTCTATGGCGGGACTTCCTCTTCCATTCCTCTGTTATCCCAGGCACCTTCCAGGAGCAAGTAGCTCAAGCTTGGAAATCTCTGGACGAATAGTCACCATAAACATGCCCTCCATGTCGTTTGTTCATGGTCAATTTCTCGCAGTGTCTTCCGTGGCATTTACTTCTCAATATCTTTCTCTAGTCTTGATCATTGGGCTTCCACTTCGTAAATTCAAACTTTCCTCTTTGAAATCCTCCCAGTCTCCCTCATCCTGAGCTTTACACCTTCCAACAATGACAGTTCCCAGATCGTTTACATCTCAACAGGGAAGTGATGCAACATGATCCCTTCCTACTTTGTTTTTTTGCATATCATTCTTACCCCTAGCCCTCCAAGTCTAGACAGCACCACCTTGTGCCATTCATGGGCATTTTCTCAGAGATCTGTTTCCAGAGCAGCATTTTGCATGTTCTGTAGGGAGAAGATGTGTGAAGGATATCTTTTGGGGACCAAGCTTGAATTCCACTGATATTGTGACTATTGAAGAAATGGTCTGATTCAGAAAGATTGGATGTTTCTACCTAAATCCAGGTCCAGCTAGCTCATCACTGTAATTTGCTATTGGAAGAAGGATGTGAAGTGAGTGAAAGTCGCTCAGTTGTGTCTGACTCTCTGCGATCCCATGGAATGTCCATGGAATTCTCTAGGCCAGGACACTGGAGTGGGTAGCCTTTCCCTTCTCCAGGGGATCTTCCCAACCCAGGGATAGAACCCAGGTCTCCCGCATTGCAGGTGGATTCTTTACCAGCTGAGCTACAAGGGAAGCCCAAGCAAAGCCCAAGGAAGCCCAAGGGAAGCCACAAAGGAAGCCCAAGGGAAGAAGGATGGGCTCTACACATATCACTGTTTTAAAGTTGCAGTGCTGAATCTTAAATTCTACCTGAGGTTTGGGTTATGAAGCTCCAGGACAAAGGTTGGGACGTACCAGTTCTGTGGAATATGATGGGAGCTGTCCAGATTATACACCTTCAATGGAAGGAAGAGTTGTCACCTTTGAAACGCCAACTC